CTTGAGCCGCTTAATCCACTTCGCCATTGGTCAGTTTGCCTATTGACAAATAGCGAAGTGGATGAAGCAGATCAGGTATGGCGCGTGCCTAATATAATTCAGATATCTTGTTGTGATCGAAGCTGTAAATTTCTACATGCTTACCTCTACGTCAATGCTCATTCCTTTTGGACCATATGGACCATAAACTTATAGCTAGTAAACAAGTAGTCTCCAACACAGCATTTCTGTTTCAGAGAGAAGTTGCAAGCAAAAGTCGCATAAGGAAAAAGAATAGAAAACAGTTCGCTGCTCCTAACGAATATAAGGCAGATGTGAAATGCAAGACTGATGACGATACTCGGGAAACGCAGACCGTAAGCTGCTTGTATTTCCAAGGGCTCATCGGTGTCCATGTCAAAATTTTGCAGAGCACTAACTCTTCAACAAGGAGTTTCTCCAATCAGGATGTGAAAAAAGAGTTGGTAGCAGAAGCCGCTAAGATCGAGGTAGTCATATGACGTGAATACACTTTTCACTCGTGTTAGCTTCATTCTGGCTATTCAGGTTATTGAATTGAAAGAAGAGGATGAGTCAGTAAATTCCTCAACTTCGAAGCCTGTCGCTGTCACTGCATCAGCAGATCAACCCGAAAAAATTGTGCAAGCACAGACATCATCTCAACCATGCCTTCATAGCGATACAGCTCAGTCTTTATACACTCCTACTTATTCTGTGATTCACGACGATTGGTCAGACATGTTAGCTATGGCCCTTACCGATCCAAATTTAGCACCACATTATAAGACTATGATTCATTGCTTAGTAGCCAGCAATAGAGATATGAAGAACATCATAGTCATGATGAAGTCTGGTCAGTCCTGATGTTCTAATTAACATGGTTCACCTCATTCTCTATCTTTCACGCTCACATTTTTGGACGGGTATGTTTTATAGGTACTCACATTTTCCAGCCTTGTTGAACCACTGCTTGTTGAATTCCCTTGCTTGTTTCTGTTTTGTTTATAAAAATGTTGGTTACTTGTATACAGAATTTTCTGGAGCTTTCCAGTAAATCATCAGTTACCGTAAGTACGAGCAGATGTGCTTTTGTCCATCATGATGAAACGACGCAGTATTTCAAATAAGCCTACTGGAAAAAAAATGAAAAAATATTAGAGAAAAAACCAAGTTGAGCTTTGCGTTGGGCTGAGGACTCCTACTGCCTCTTCCTAGGTCTTTTCGCTTTCGCGCTGCTAATTCCGGCGTTCAGAAAAAGCGCACATGCGAACAATCCGCCAAGGTGCCTTCCATGTGTTCTGCAGTCCAGCAGTGTACAAAAAGAGGAAGAAAAGGAGAGCGCAAGAAATGGAGGAGCAGGAAAACACCAAACTTTATCATTCGAAGAAAAATTTACGGCGTCGCAACGGGAAAAAGGTGTGGGTTTCTACCATGTCATTCGTAGTACCTAGTACCGGTTTATCCTCGGTAGGTTTCAAGCCCATTAGTTTTTCTATTACGAGGTGAATGGTCGATCTGCTACTAGTCGTGAAAACAGGTGGAGAAGTCGTCCCATGGGTAAACCCGCGTTTCAGACTGGTTCAATCATTCTTGTCTCTACATTACTTCTTTACCTTTGTGCGATGACATGGCTGGGGTGGCTGCTCTTGTAAGTTCGGAGACTGCCTTTGTCGTCAGATTTCATCAGACTCATCCAGACACTAGATAACATGTTACGAAGTGTGATCCGTGATTTTGTTTATGTCACCGTCCAAATTCGAGTAAAGAAGTTCCGAAGGCAGTGTCCTAGCGCAAAAAGTGAGTGCGGAGCTAGAGAAATCATAGGTGGCAGGTGCTCTGAAGCGATTTTCTCGCTTCAGGATTATGAAGATACGGGCCAGTCGGGTGGTTAGCCAAAGGATCCTCTGA